TTGGGGAATTATTTACAGCTACAGATCAATCCCCCCCTAGTGAGGTAGTGATGCCCCTAAGACGTGATCAGCCAGAAGTTTAAACCCAACGAGTTTGGCGTTGGTAAACACTATTCTGATAGCTTGCTTCGTTTAGCAGCGTCTGGTCGTCTTTCCTTAAATTATGGGACCAAGATGTACAACGTAGCAATAAAGAAATATAGTACAATGAAAATTTCGGTTCCTTGCGAAACTTCGTCGTTCTTTTCCAGCCGTCCTGGAAAAGAGGAAAAATAAAACGTGTGAGTGCATGTCGAAAATACACTCGTACTTGCGTAAGGACACAAGATGAGCGGAAAAAATAAACTGATACACTTACAAACAGCGTGAAAGTGATCGGAAAAAAATGGTTTGTTTTTGGGTTTTTTTATATATATAAAAAGTATATATATATATATACGCTCAAAAAAATAATAAAAATGTTTTGTTTTTTTGTTTTTTTATAAATAAAAAAACTGAGCATATTAAAAAAATTTTATAATAAACTATAAAAGGCTAATTCAAGATAAAGCTTATGTCCTACGTGCAATATTCTATAAGATGTTCTGGAAATCTTACTCGTCTTCCAGAACGCGTTGTTTTAGGTTTTTCTATCGACGTTGACGAAGTATCAAGTTGTGTGTTGGTTGTCGTGTAGGGTACTACGAGTGTAGTAGCTGTGTCGTTTGCTTGTACCGAAGGAAAATCGACGTAGCTAGGGTTTCCTTCTAAGTACGCTGCTTTGAGTCGATCGATACTGATGCTATCGTTCGTACAGTTCTTATCTACTACATAGTACTTAGGTTCGCGTTGAAGAACTTTGAAGGGTCCTTCGTATGCTGATTCGAGGGGTCGTCGATGTGAGTCTCGACGAACGAAGACGTGTGTACTATGTCGTAATTCGGGTTGAACGAAAACATCAGTTGATTGAGGTCGAGTGTGAGCAGGTTTAACTGAACGCATAGCGTTTGTAAGCCTACTCGCGTAAGAGTTTAGATCCATGTCCAATGAAGAAGCTGAAGGATCCACGAACTCTCCTGGGAGTCGGAGTGTCGTTCCGTAAACGAGTTGAGATGCAGTGTATCCAATGTCAGCTTTCACTGCATTGCGGACACCTAGCAAGACGAGTGGAAGATCGTCTGTCCACTGTGAAACGTTTGAAGCTGATAATGAAGCTTTTAATTGTCGATGAAAACGTTCTATCAACCCGTTTGCTTGTGGGTGGTAGGCGGTCGTTCGAAAGCGCGTGATTCCTAATAGTGAGGTGAGACAACGGAAAAGTCCAGATTCGAATTGGCGTCCGCGGTCTGTAGTGATTGTGGAAGGGCAGCCGAAATTCGCTACCCATCGTTCGACGAAAACGCGGGCCACGGTTTCAGCAGTAATGTCCTTCATCGGTACTGCTTCTGGCCATCGAGTGAAACGGTCTACGCATGTTAGGAGATATGAGTATCCGTTGGAGTCGGGTAAGGGTCCTACCAAATCTAAATGGACGTGGTCAAAACGAGCGTCAGGGGTCTTGAAAGAGCCTAAGGGACATTTGTTGTGTCTTATGACCTTAGATTTCTGACAGCTTACACAGGAGCGTGCCCACTCCCTCACGTCTTTATTCATGCCAGGCCAACAAAAGCGTTCGGCTATAAGTTCAATTGTTACACGAGCACCTGGATGAGAAAGATTGTGCAATGTATTGAAGACGTTGCGTCGATAATGTTTTGGTACTATTGGACGATCCCTACCTGTAGATGTGTCACAGAGTAAGGTTTCCTTACCTGTTCCCATCTGCTTAATACTTAGTTTTAGAGTTTTCGAGGATAACTAATGCCGAAGATCAATATCTTCTTTTTGAAGCTGAGCGAGTTTAAGAAGGTCGATTCCTTGGAAACTGTTCAAGGAATTTATTCGAGACAAGGCGTCTGCGACTACATTGTTAGCTCCAGAAATATGTTGTATGTCTGAAGTAAACTGCGAAGTGTAGTCGAGTTGACGAGACTCTCGCGGTGAGTACTTATCTGAAGATGAAGTGAAAGAGAAGGTAAGAGGTTTGTGATCGGTAAAAAGTGTGAATTCTCTTCCTTCGATGGAATGTTGGAAATGCCGTACAGCACAATACATAGCTAGGAGTTCCCTACCGAACGTGCTGTACCTAGATTCCGCGTCTAGCAACCGTCTCGAGAAAAATCCTAAAGGTTGCCAAGAGTTGTTAACCCATTGTGGTAAGACTGCTCCGATTGCTGAGTCGGATGCGTCTACTGCGATACTAATGGGCGCTTGAGTATCCTGATGAGCAAGCAGGGTTGCTTTAGCGATGTGTTCCTCAACTCTGGAAAATGCTTTACGTGCTATGTCGTCTAAACTAATTGATTTCGCATTTCCACGAAGCTGATCGGTTAACGGTTTCATAAGGGATGCGCATTTGGGTATGAACCGTCTATAGAAACTTACAAGTCCGTTAAAAGTTCGTAACTGCTTGATAGTGGTCGGTTCTGGGTAATCCAGAATGGCCGCCACTTTGCTCTTAAGGGGTCGGATGCCTTGGGCATCAATGGTGTGTCCTAGGAAGTCTAAGGAGTTTGTACCGATTTGGCATTTCTGTATGTTGACAGTAATGCCATGCCTTTGGAGTCGATCGAAAACAATGTCCAGATGCTTGAGATGCGATTCTCTGTCCGGACTTGCTATTAGACAGTCATCAACATACGCATGTACGAAGTCGAGACCTCGGAAGACGTCGTCTATAAACCTTTGGAAGGTTTGAGCCGCGTTTCTTAAACCAAAAGGCATTCGTAGAAATTCGTAAAGACCGAAGGGAGTGATGATGGCGGTTTTAGGAATGTCGTCAGGTGCCATCGGGATTTGGTTATAAGCTTTAGCCAAGTCGATTTTCGAAAAGACAGTTGTACCTTTCAAGGTAGCTGTCAAATCGTGAATATGAGGCAGCGGGTAACGATCGGGAATGGTTTTAGCATTCAGACGCCGATAATCACCAGTTGGCCGCCAATCATTGCTGTCCTTTTTAGGGACCATGTGCAATGGGGATGCCCATGGACTATTCGATGGTCGAATTATCCCTAGGTCCATCATGTGGTCGAATTCGTTTTTAGCTAACTTAAGCTTCTCGGGAGCGAGTCTTCGAGCTTTCGAAAATATAGGTGGTCCTGTAGTCGTGATGTGATGTGTAACATTGCTGGTTACACAAGGCAATTTAGATTGCTATTGGTATATCCCGGGATATTTGTCGAGTACTGATTGGTACAATGGGTCTATGGCGTGCTTAATCGTGACTGCGGATAACCTGCAACCGGAACAAGGAGTTACGCAAACGGATAACTTAGTGTTTCCGTCTATTAACCTTCGTGAGCGTGTGTCGATGAGTAGATTGTTGTGTTGTAACAGGTCTATACCATTGATTGGCATGGATACGTCTGCAACAACGAAAATCCAGTGTATGGGTTTGCGTAAACCCACGTTAAGGTAGACGTACCTTTTACCATAAGTAGCGATTGATTTTCCGTTTGCCGCCTGTAAACTTAAAACAGACTCGCGAAGTCTGTCGTCGAGATTTGCTGGAAGAACGCTAACTTCTGCACCGGTGTCGACGAGGTAGCGAACTTTCGTGGTCACATCCGTGACATATAAGAGGCAGCTGTGTTCGCCGGCTACGGTTGCCGTTAACGCGTGCCGGCTGGGAAGTTTCCCGAAATCTTATTCGTGTCAGTCGATTTTGAAGTCGGATAATTGCAAGGTTTCCTGCAATTTCTGGAAAACTTACCGTACTGGTTATGATACCAGCACCAGTCGGGATTGTCTGTCTCTCGTGGTCGAGAGCCAGATCGCTTACGTGAGGTGCTTCTACGCGGGGTTTTTGACCGACTACGGTCATTGCGAACTCTAAGATATCGTGTAAGCGTGTGACATAGTTCGGCCATGTCAGTCGAGGTCGATTGGGGTTTTTCCTTGACGGAAAAAACCTCGGCCTTAGAAAATTTGGTGATTTCCAAGATTCGATCGGCAGATGCAGCTAGTTCATCTATGGCATTGTTTTGAAATGAAACAAGCACTGCTTGCACCTGTTGAGGGAGTTTAGACAAGAAAAGTTGTCTAAATAGGCCATCATCGAAATTTTGTTGGCCGATGACTTCTCTCATTCTAAGCAACATGTCCGTCGCAGAACCATGTTGCAAGTCGATATTGTCAAGGAGTTGGTCTAACCGTTGTCGATCAGTTAGGTCTCCTCGTTTTAAAATCGATAGCTTAAGCGTTTCGTAAGGTTTGGGAACATCACTAGTAAACATACTAGGTGTTACGTACCTGTTAAACTCGCGCGGTAGCGCCTTAACTACCGCGAGGAAACGTGTGCGCGAGTCCGTGATTCCGTGCATGCTAAAATCGGCTTCTGCATAGCAGAACCAGGGCTCGATATTGTCGGGCCAAAATGGCGTTAACTGAATCGAAATAGGGGGAATAGACTTGAACTTAAGAACCTTAGGAGAGTGTTCCGTCATAGTAATATTGATAACGAAAAATGTCTAAGTAAAATATATCCGAGAAAAAAAATTCGCGAAAAAAAGTATATCACAATATATAAAATTCAAATAAAGAATAACAATGAATAATAATATTCCAAAATGGAACAGACTCACAGTATATTGACTTGGTGTACCAGATCACGTCGGGTTCACCAATGATGATGCAACGGATGTTCTAGTTTTACAACTAGCTACCAGTAGCACCTTCTATATTTGATCGTTCACAGTCAGATAGAAATCAGAAGTCAGACGAGAAGAGGCACTTAATGAGCTATTGATTTTGGGGAATTATTTACAACTACAGGTCCTTTCCAAAAAGAACGCTAAGACCATAATAAGAAATACGCCTCTCAATATCAAAAATCATTCTCCCGTAATCCGAACTAAGTTACCAAATCAACAAAGTTTTGGTGATTCCGAGACAGAAAACTCGAATTTTGTTAAAATACGAGAATGTTTTGTTTTTGTTGGAAATTGTACACTCAGCTAGGTGAGCGGGTGTTCTGGATCTCTTCGGTATAAGTCATGCAAGTTTACGTCTGTCTGTCATTTAGACTTTAGGGACAAAGACAAGCCTATCGAACTCAATACAGTTCCCGTTACACTTCTTAAAAGGAGAAAAAGGGTTAGCCGGGATATAATCAAACAACAGCGTCTGCGTTCTGAGGAGTTACGTAAACGTGCCCGGAAACGCAGAAGTCTTATCAAACCTCCGATCCGTTTTATAAAGGTAATGATAATTTTGTGAAAACATAAACCCACAGACGGGCCTCAGGCGGTCTTACGATGAGTTACGTTTGCAGCGGGTCGCTAAACGCAGATCTCCGTTTTTAACATCTGATCAACCAAGACTGGGTATTGTAATTCGGTTGAAGGACGATGAAGAACAACTTGCAGATGTTTGTAAAGATGTATTTCGATTACTTCGTCTTGATACCCACAATCAAGCAGTTTTCATTAAAATTACAAAGGTATAAATAGTCACGATCTTACTATTTTCAGGCTACTCTTAGTCTGTTAAATATTGTTTCACCCTATGTGGTATGGGGTTATCCTTCTCTGCAAGTGGTGCGCGATATGGTTATGAAGCGTGGGCGTACTATGCTTGGTAGACACAAACATTCAATCGATAACAAAATCATTGAAGAGAAATTAGGTAGGTTATGTGCCGGTTTCAGGTGTAATGATTGCTTGCCATCAACTTCTTAATGCCCTTATACATAATTAGACTGCTGTTTGTTTATCTAAGTTTCTGATTCGAGCCTCGAAATTCTAATACTGCACGGGTCCATATGTTTAGACTGACTTGAGGAAATTTTAGTGAACTTCAATGTTAAATATTTACCTTGATCGTTGATTGCTCAGTTTGTCATTTAGGGAGCTAGTTCCGTCAAAATACATCTTTCCGAGTGTTTTGTCAACTAAAGATTTGAAATGAAACAGTCTTATTAGATTTACATCCTAGGAGGTTTTTCAAGTCTTTTCACAGGTCTTCAGTAAGAAGTTTGGAAGCTTTGTGTGCATTTTTAGGGTCGACCTTTTCTAAACCCTCCCCTCTTTGTGGGAACACAGCATCGCGTTATGCTGGTTGTCTAAAGAAAACACCTTACTGTTGTCACACCTGTGTACAGTCAGCAGTACGACTTCGCCGTCGGACCTTGGTTTTGCTGTTTTTAGTTTTACCGCTCTTCAACCGACCTGCCTGGCATGGTAGGACCTTAAGGAACGGTTGTTCCAGCCGGTATAGTTCGATTGGTTCATCACGATAGGCAAGCCAGACCACCACTTCAAGGTAGCAGCAACGGTCGGGTTAGTCGACCATTACTAATCCTTTCATTTTGTAGCATTGTGAAGATGCAATATAGCTTTGAAAATACCTACCAATATTACGTGTTCTGATAAGGGATCGCAGTAATTTACTACGCGATGCGGGAAATGGATCTCCAGTTGTAAACGATATAACCTCGGTTCTTGAACATTTTTGGAATGTCCTCTCAGATGACTATTTTAGGATTGAAGGAAAAAGTAGAACATTAACATCAAGACCATCATTCAGTCTATAATTAGCCAGTATTAAATCATCCCGTAACCTGTGGCAAATAACGGAAATAGATGGAGGCGTCTCTGTCGTCATAAGGTAGGCCAGCACGATCTTTCGCCATTTTAGTTTTGTCATTGGACTCGTTCTAACATGTCTACCTCGCGCTTAAATCCCATATTCCAAATGTGGTCTTACAAAAGTCGGGTCGAGGATTGTATGTTATCTCTTATCATTGAGAAAGTCATTTATCCAGTCTCTGATTTCATAATGAATTCCAAACCTCCCCAGTTTTAATTTAAGACCCAAGTAACAGAACTTGTCAAAACTTTTACTTTGATCTATGAAATTTATTTCTACTGGAACATTACTATCTTTCGCTCCAGCCTAATTTTTTCTTGTAATGAAACTTATTGAGAATGAAAGGCCTTTGCACGAATCATGTTGTTCCTTGGCGAAAAGATTATTTCTCCCCACATAGTTTGGAACAGCCATCCGGATAATCTCATCCATTAGTTTGACGACTACACCAAATTAGCTATGTCAAAGTTAAACATAGAGCTGTCGTCAAAGATTGGTGCATATTTCGACTTTGCAGATGACCTACCTCTTTCTATCATGTACGCAACATTGAATATAGGTAAGGACAAACAATGTAGCAGCAGCCTGTGCAGCAATAGCCTCAACATTCACAAGGAAAAGAGCAAGATCCTAAAATATGACAGCTTGCACCAGCTAAATCATACTTGATGGAGTAGCTCTGGAAGCGTCCACGTACCTGGGCAGCATCATCGATAAATAAGGAGGATCTGGTGCAGATGTAAAGGCACGGATCAGCAAAGTAAAGGATGAATTCCTCCAACTAAAGAACATTCCAAACTCAACAAAACTGTCAGTCAACATAAAGGTCAAAATTTTCAGCACGAATGTCAAGACAGTTTTACTATATGGAGTCGAAACATGAAAAACTCACAACCGTCATCAAAAAGTATAAGGACTTTTAAACAGTTGTCCACGTAAAATACTCAAAATCTGTTGACCGGATGCCACCAGCAAGACCATTTGATTGTGTTTCGTGGGATTTTCATAACCAGTAGTTTTACACTTTAAGTGATGTGGCTCATATCCATTCACCCTTTACTTTCCCTTCGGTCCTAAATTTACAAATGATTCTGTAATTTGTTTGATTACAGGAATCCAATTTTCCTCAAACAGTATTGTCTATTCATAGTCTTTTTGTACTACTGCGAATGCTGTAACTACTAATAGTACTCTGATATCCCACTATACAGATTTCGTGTAGCAACTTAAATTGATGCATATATGGGCTAGTGTTTGCCTCATTTATGACTGATAGACATCTTAGTATTGGTCTCATATAATATGATCACTGAATAAAGGTGTTGTCTTTTATACTCTTAGTATCTGTCGTTTGACTCATTTTCTTCTGACAATAACACTTTTTTGTGCTAATTTGAAATGCCACAATAGACTGATGTATTTTATACCGTCTTTTTCCATACCTGCTTGTCCATATAAGTTGAGAGGTGTGTGATATATTGGTTTAGTTGGTCTGCAGATATTTATATTCCGAAAGCTATCAATAGTTTTACAAGTTACTTCATACAAACAGTGATAATCTTTGAGTTAAACTTATCTAAATTTATCACTTTGAAATCATTATTCTATTTGTTTTTCAAAGGTCACTGTGGGATTTTGTGTATAGAAGACATTATCCACGAACTTGTAACTATTGGTCCAAACTTTATCGCCGTTCAGCGCTTTTTATGTCCATTCAAACTTATGTCATCCAGTCGTGATTGGATGTCAGGCTCACGGCGCTGTCACGCTCGTGTTGATTCTCTAACGGGGTTTCGAGAAGAACAATTAAATGAAATGATTCGTAGAATGATATGATTCTGTAGATAATGCATGTATAGATACTATCCTCGGTTATTACTTTTTTTTTGCATATATTACATGAGTATACAAATGTGTGTCTTGTTTGGAAATTTCTGCGACTGTGCTACTCTTTTGTTTACTGACAAAGCTTTTGCACATTGAAGAATTATTATCCATTGTCATGTCAATCGATTCGCAGTATTACCTTTGTATTTATTGGTTTTCCAACTATTTACATCTTGAATGAACTTAGTGGACCATTGAAAATGTCCTTTATATTTTTATAAACATCGGCAGCGAGCATTAACTTTGTCTACAGAAATAAGTATGTGCTAACTGAAGACTACATAACAATGTCTTTTTCAAAACACTACAATAATTTGCCATAACGAGTACTCAATATTATTTAATTTGCAGTCACGAAAAAAAGATTTTCATGTATTCGAGAACTAAGCCCTTTACTTTCAGTATAATTGTATTATGAATTGTCAAAACTCATTTCAATCAATTCTTTCAGATATGTCGCGTCTATACGTCACATAATTTGCAAACACTTGTACTTTCTGCGTCACTTTGAGTTATATCATTAGTTTCTGTGAAGAATAGAACATTTCCACCCAATTTTACAGTTTAGAAGTAAATATGGGGTAAGACTCCACTTTATCTTCCATGTCGTTAATACTACAATTTGGGAGAACTAGTTTAGCATACCATGGTTTCTTCATCCTCATCTCCAATATGCTCTGGGAACGCCTTCCATGTTTGAGACTAACCACCCGTTATGTGGTAGGTTTCCCCAACCTCAATGGTGTGTCAAATACGTGGACGATCTTGTAAATTTCTGGTAACTTCAAGTAATTTCAAAGCGTGCGTCAGACAGGACTGAGATATCCGTCTCGTTAACTTCATGGCTTTGTACCGTTTGTTTAAATTCGATTAGTTTGTAAAGTGTGGTCAAGGCATTCTGTGTCTCATTTATTAGATGTTTGTGTAGACCTTCAGTGGAATCTGTTGTAGCTTGTCTAGAATTTTCTAAATACTCATCAAAAAATTGCACATTTGTTATTGTATATTCTTTCCACATTAAAGAGGGTTGTTGTAGCTGTATACACAGTTTGAATAAACGTTTTCGTGATTTAACTGTTTCGAAAGTTGGAGGGAGAGTTATTTTAACTTGAGCACATGCACCAGTGGAAGTGTGAATGTCATTCATCATCTGAATTTTGAAAAGATTAACCCAGACCGGTCTTCCAGAAGCCTAAAAAATAAGCGTGTATTATATGTAGTAGTGGGAATTACCGTGTCTTGGTAACATAGGTGGGCGGAAGCGCTCTTAGTGTAAAAGTTGGTAAAGTGTATTTCTTTGAGAAATGTTGGTACGCTGCAGTCGAAATGGTATTCCTTAATCAGACATCCTCGCATGTTGTCATTTTGGGTTGACAGTCTCAGGCCGGATGTTCGTTCTTTTATTATTTCAATTATAGACATGGTATATTTATCCTCTACCAGGTATGACCGATATAAATCTAAAATGTAAATAAAGTAAAGTCTTATCACAAAATGTTCCATTTAACATCAATAATACTATTTCTAAAAATGGTTTCAGTACTACTGGCTACCGGAGTCTTAAACCTTCCCCGTTGATATTTCCGAGATCGATTTGCATGTGAGACAGTCCTCTGTTAAAAATTTACCTGAAAGTCTTTTTTCGAAGTATCTATACAGGAGGTTATGTATAGTCAGCCCTCAGGTTGTTCAGAAGTGTCTGTACTAATCATTTCTGTTATATCCCCTGGTGAATGATGAATTGTAAATCTGAGGTATATTATGGACAAAGGTAATATGCCTAATTCCTATTGTATAGTTGTTAAATAACTGACCTAATTGTATTCGTGTTCCTCTTATCATAACCTTTATTTTGACCTTTGAACTATTGTTATTGATTACTTTCCCCCTATCCATAGCCACATTGGCCAATTACTGTACAAATGTTATTTTTCTATTTTTTGGTATAATTGGGTCTGTTTGGTTAGTATATATAATCCAGTATGCTTGTGAATAATGATTCATATTTCCGAGGCTGTTATTTGTGTTCTGGACTCAACTGGCTGGGCTAGGCAGTTAGGAAGGACCGAATAGCAATCAAGACTGCTCGTACGTATTTTCGGTATCATTGCACGTCCATATCATTTACGAGTTTGCATACGTTCATAACAATTGGCGACGGGTGAAAAAAAATGGCTCTAACTTCCAACCAATTTCAGTTGCTAATCCAGCAACTAGAACAGCTCGTTAGAAAGAGTCAATTGGATTTCATTGACAAATTACACGCGAAGCTGCTGAATCACCCATGTTTTGGGGGTGAAACGGAAGTTGACGCAATAATTTCAAAATTGCGTACGGAGCTGGAAAACGATTACAGAACTAATGAATATGCCGGCGAAAGCCTCAATGAATCCGTACAAAACAGTAATTTAAATGCAGCAGTAGCAGTCCTACATGATCAGCCCAGTAGTCCGGTACTGCCTGTTTCAGACACATGCCCTATACACGGTCCAAGTCCTATTAACCCCGTAAACGGACGTGCAAACAGTGGATCAACCTCTTTACAGAAAGACAATGTTTTGCTAAATGCCCATGAAATTGCTGCAGTACCCGCCCACGAAGAAACGGGGAACAAACCGAACAGTATAGTGAATACAGTGGCGCCAAATGAAACTAATCATGATGAAAAAAATTTTTCTAATGAATCTAATGATCAAAATTATCTAATTGTTCTGCCAGATCCCGATTATTTCGCTGATTCATATGTTCCTGTTCAAATCTCTTATAAAAATGTGAGAAAAATTTCGGATGCATTAAATGATAATCAAGAATCCAATACAACTTTCATAGATACTGATTATCCTAATGATTCATTATCTACTAATGAGGTTCCGAGGAAATTCAAGGGAACTATTTCAGAAGAATCAAATGTTGGTGACCTCAAATCAAATGTCGTCGATCTTCATGATCTCATCAGTTCTAATGGATTCCCTGTTAAATGTGTCAAACATGACAAACATATCGAATTAATAGTAACTTGGTTATATGAGGATCCAACAGTCTTTCGTGGGGGAGGGGGAATTCGAGAAATTTAAAATCCGGATATCAACTCCGGATTTCTCAAAAAGGGGAGGTGTTATATCCCCTGGTGAATGATGAATTGTAAATCTGAGGTATATTATGGACAAAGGTAATATGCCTAATTCCTATTGTATAGTTGTTAAATAACTGACCTAATTGTATTCGTGTTCCTCTTATCATAACCTTTATTTTGACCTTTGAACTATTGTTATTGATTACTTTCCCCCTATCCATAGCCACATTGGCCAATTACTGTACAAATGTTATTTTTCTATTTTTTGGTATAATTGGGTCTGTTTGGTTAGTATATATAATCCAGTATGCTTGTGAATAATGATTCATATTTCCGAGGCTGTTATTTGTGTTCTGGACTCAACTGGCTGGGCTAGGCAGTTAGGAAGGACCGAATAGCAATCAAGACTGCTCGTACGTATTTTCGGTATCATTGCACGTCCATATCATTTACGAGTTTGCATACGTTCATAACAATTGGGCTTTTCTGAAACATCTCCATCAAATTCATTAAGATTTTCACTGGAGGATATTTGATAGCTAGGGGAATCATCATCTAATGAAATTGCCTTGGGTTTTTGATCAGCATTTGATTCAACCGACTTATTTTCCTCATCTTCATAAGAATTTTCATCAAAGTTATGTGCACCATTCCAGCTTTCTTGGCCGATATCATGTAACCCGTAGTTTAATTCTGACTGAAGTTTGTCTTCAGAAATCGGCGGATTGAGTGGTGCTTCATTAGACTCTGGGCTCAGGGCTTTGTCTACGGAACCTTGTAGTAAAGTGATTTCTCTGTTACTCGTGTCTTCTTACTGGTCTTTCAAGTCGCTGAGTAGTGCTAGCCTGGGGTTATCCGAATAGCTAGGATCCGAATAAAGCGTTCAACCTACGAGACGTAACAAATTGGCGACGGGGATTTCGGCACAAAAAAAACAATTGTTGTCGGGGTTTTTGGTGCACAAAAAAATACAACAATTTTCGTCGAGGATTCTGGCAAAAAGAAATACAGCAACCGAGACGTGATTTGGGAATCAAACAAGCTGTAATAATTGCCGGTGAATTTTCGGAGTTATTATTATTATCAGCAGAAAAAAAATGACGATTTCTTTAGAACAGGCGCTGGTAATCTTAGAGCACCGGCAACAACAGATGCTAGCCTTCCAGCAGCAACTATTTGAAACAGTCTTGGACAAGTTTTTCAATAATGGTGCTAAAATGGCCGTCCCAGAAGAACGCTCGGTTGAGGGTTCATTTCCCTTCACATCTGATGGAAAAGGCAAAATGGGTAAGTTGGCCGGTTCAGAACAAGACAATATCTTGCTAAATGCACATGAAACTGCGACAGTATCAGATGTCAAAGAAAAACAAGGTTCCGTAGACAAAGCCCTGAGCCCAGAGTCTAATGAAGCACCACTCAATCCGCCGATTTCTGAAGACAAACTTCAGTCAGAATTAAACTACGGGTTACATGATATCGGCCAAGAAAGCTGGAATGGTGCACATAACTTTGATGAAAATTCTTATGAAGATGAGGAAAATAAGTCGGTTGAATCAAATGCTGATCAAAAACCCAAGGCAATTTCATTAGATGATGATTCCCCTAGCTATCAAATATCCTCCAGTGAAAATCTTAATGAATTTGATGGAGATGTTTCAGAAAAGCCAAATTCCGATGACCTAAAATCAAATATCGTTCATCATCATCTATTCATTTCTAATAGATTCTGCATTCAATACGAGAAATGTGTTCTAAATAAAGTCATATTAATTGTAAATTGGAGATATGAAGATCCAACATTATTTCGTGGGGGAGGAAATATTGGAGAATTTCAACTTACAGATAATTTTAAAAAAAAAAATCAAAATCCAATCTTCGAATCTTCAAAAAAGGGGAGGTGTTAGATCGGCATACAATAAACTCTATCAGAGCCTCCAGAGAGGCTCATAAAGAGACCAACCAATCAGCGATCAGTTAGAAGCTATGCTACTAAAATAACAAGGTCCTGATTGGCTGTTAACATATTGCTACTATGGAATCTCAAGGTCTTTCTAATTACTATAAAACCCCTGTTTTTTCTGTACATAATCGAACCTTGTAATAAAGTGATTCTCTGATACTCGTGTCTTCTCTCTGGTCTTTCAAGTCGCTGAGTAGTGCTAGCCTAGGGTTATCCGAATAGCTAGGATCCGAATAAAGCAGTCAACCTACAAGTCATAACAATTTCAAAAACCGTGTCTAACTCCTAAGTTGTTTATGGTTTTCCACGATTTACAGTACTAAACATAAAACAGTTCATGATATCGTACAGAGTAGTTCCTGTCGGCATATGTATCTAATCAAATAGCTTGGGATTGTGCAAATATAAAGTCCTATGTTTCGACTTCAGCATGTTAATGGACACGTTTAGTATAGCAAAGTTAGAGTATTGAAATGTATACAGACAGCCACATCATCTTGGTACTTTTCTTCAGGTGAAACCATTCATCTGAATGACAACATAGCCGCCTATTCAGTGTATTATATGTAGCAGGTCCAGGGTCGCGTAGTATATCAATATTTCAGTTGAGAAGTTAAAATGTGGGCTTGTTCATATGTGGTAAATTGTGGCCTTCATGAGAGAAGAATGAGCAGCTTCACACCATATTTACCATACCTGTTCATTCAAAGATATATTATCGAGGCAGTTTGGCCATAAATGTACAGGCCACTATTCTGTGAATGGATATTCTAGTTAATATTCTAAATACGAAGAAAAGGAAGTGAACTAAGTAGCAAATAAGATACTTGCTGATATATTCTCAAGTCTTGCAGAGGATGTTTCAGGATTTGTGAACCAACTAGACAGGAAACAGTATTGAGTTGTAGACTGTTAGGGAGTAATTTGTGGAGGCACGATAGCTTAAATCACAAAGACTGAGCGAACATTTTAATCGCTACCGAGTAGACTAATTGAGTAAAATTACTCCTTTAATAAAATCGATATGAAAGGACCGATACTACGACATACAATGCAAAAAACAATTTATGATTATCTGATCCACTACTTTAAAATTGTACTAAATATTTGAGGAAATATCAATGATGAATTTTAAATTCATATCTTCGACTTGGACAAGGCTAATGCAGGAAGTTTAGTAGACTGGTCATCAAGTTCACCAGTAGTGGGATCCCGTTTTTTCAGTTAGGTGACCAATGATGAGGATGTCCTGACTGAATAGGTGGAATCAGCCTAATTGGTGAGCAACGTGAGAGAGAAGTTGGATTGTGACAGGAAAACAGT